AGCACGACGGCGTGGTGACGATGATGATGTTCTACCGGCGCAGGGCTTCGCCTAAACTCCGCGACGATATGACCGAGCTGGAATATGGTGGAAGGGGGCACCACACACGGCTAAGGAATGATCCGTAGATCAACTTGTGTGTCATTGGGGTGCCCCCCGCCCCCGTATATAAAAGAGCCAGGGGGGAGGAGGCGGCCGGCCTAGAGGGCGCGCCAAGGGGGGAGTCCTACTCCCACCGGGAGTAGGACTCCCTCTTTCCTAGTAGGATTAGGAGAAGGGGGGAAAGAGGAGGAAGAGGGGAAGGAAAGGGGGGGGCGCCGCCCCCCTTCCCTTGTCCTATTCGAACTAGGATGGGGAGGGGCACGCGGCCCCCTCCTGGCTCCTTCCCTCTTCTCCCTCGTGGCCCATGTAGGCCCAATAACCCCCCGGGGGGTTCCGGTAACCTCCCGGTACTCCGGTAAAATGCCGATTTCACCCGGAACGATTCCGATGTCCAAATATAGGCTTCCAATATATCGATCTTTATGTCTCGACCATTTCGAGACTCCTCGTCATGTCCGTGATCACATCCGGGACTCCGAACAAACTTCGGTACATCAAAACTTATAAACTCATAATAAAACTGTCATTGTAACGTTAAGCGTGCGGACCCTACGGGTTCGAGAACTATGTAGACATGACCTAGAACTATTCTTGGTCAATAACCAATAGCGGGACCTGGATGCCCATATTGGTTCCTACATATTCTACGAAGATCTTTATCGGTCAAACCGCATAACAACATACGTTGTTCCCTTTGTCATCGGTATGTTACTTGCCCGAGATTTGATCGTCGGTATCCAATACCTAGTTCAATCTCGTTACCGGCAAGTCTCTTTACTCGTTCTGTAATGCATTATCTCGTAACCAACTCATTGGTCACATTGCTTGCAAGGCTTATAATGATGTGCATTACCGAGAGGGCCCAGAGATACCTCTCCGACTATCGGAGTGACAAAACCTAATCTCGAAATACGCCAACTCAACATGTACCTTTGGAGACACCTGTAGTACTCCTTTATAATCACCCAGTTACATTGTGACGTTTGGTAGTACCCAAAGTGTTCCTCCGGTAAACGGGAGTTGCATAATTCTCATAGTTATAGGAACATGTATAAGTCATGAAGAAAGCAATAGCAGTATACTAAACGATCAAGTGCTAGGCTAACGAAATGGGTCATGTCAATCACATCATTCTTCTAATGATGTGATCCCACTAATCAAATGACAACACATGTATATGGTTAGGAAACATAACCATCTTTGATTAATGAGCTAGTCAAGTAGAGGCATAGTAGTGACTATAGGTTTGTCTATGTATTCACACATGTATCATGTTTCCGGTTAATACAATTCTAGCATGAATAATAAACATTTATCATGATATGAGGAAATAAATAATGACTTTACTATTGCCTCTAGGGCATATTTCCTTCAAGCATGACCTAGGAAAGTGTGCCTTGCCAAATGGGATCGAGCGTGTTGGGTTATGTGGTGCACCCCTGCAGCGAAGTTTATCTATTCGAATAGCCGTGTCCCTCGGTAAAAGGACGACCTGGAGTTATACCTTGACCTTATGACAACTAGAACCGGATACTTAATAAAACACACCCAGACAAGTTCCACAGACAACCCGGTGATCGCTTTTCCACAGGGCGACGAGGGGAGGATCGCCGGGTAGGATTATGCTATGCGATGCTACTTGGAGGACTTCAATCTACTCTCTTCTAAATGCTGCAAGACGGAGGCTACCAGAAGCGTAGTCTTCGATAGGACTAGCTATCCTCCTCTTATTCTGGCATTCTGCAGTTCAGTCCATCGATATTGCCTCTTTACACATATACCCATGCATATGTAGTGTAGATCCTTGCTTGCGAGTACTTTGGATGAGTACTCACGGTTGCTTTGCTCCCTCTTTTCCCCTGTTTTCCTCTTCTTCTCGGATGCTGAAACCAGACGTTGGAGCCCAGGATCTAGATGCCATCGTCGATGACGAGTAATACACTGGAGGAGCCTACTACTACGTGCAGTCCGCTGACGACGACCAGGAGTAGTTTAGGAGGATCCCAGGCAGGAGGCCTGCGCCTCTTTCGATCTGTATCCCAGTTTATGCTAGCCATCTTATGGCAACTTGTTTAACTTATGTCTGTACTCAGATATTGTTGCTTCCGCTGACTCGTCTATGATCGAGCACTTGTATTCGAGCCCCTCGAGGCCCCTGGCTTGTATTATGATGCTTGTATGACTTATTTTACTTTTAGAGTTGTGTTGTGATATCTTTCCGTGAGTCCCTGATCTTGATCATACACATTTGCGTGCATGATTAGTGTACGGTTGAATCGGGGGCGTCACATGAATCCACCTCAATAACCTTCCCTATCTGTTCTCCTATTTTCGCCTCATAGTAGGTGTTCCGTCCACGACTATTCCGATTCCGAGGAAACCCGACTTCAAGTTAAAGTTCCAGGCTCGCACCCCCGCGTCGCCTCCTCTGAGGCGACTCGGGGGCCAACCCTAGCACCGCTGCCGCGTTTTCCCCCTCTCCTCCCCTCTCTGCTGCCGCCTGAGGGCCTCCGTGGCGCGGGTGCTCGGCCTCAATGATGGCGGCGGCGGGATCTGGCGCCTCCTCTCCTTTGGAGGGCCTTGGTTCCGCGGGGCGGCGGCCCCGGCCGGTGGGCGCGGTGCAGCCGGCGGGCTGCGCCGGCGGGCTCTACTGGGCAGCCTCCCACAGCCGCGCGGACGGTGTGGGGGCTGTGGACGCTGGCGCAGTAGTGGCTCCTCGCAATCCGTCATGGCTCCATGTAGAAGATCCGCCCCTGCTCCGATCTGTCCCGATCCGTGCTGGCACCGATCCTTGGTGGCTACTTTCGGCGTCCCTATTGCCGGCCTGGCGGATCTGGCATGCGGGTGAGGGTCCGGGGGAAACCCCTGGCTGGCGCGGCGGCCTCCCCAAAGTCGACGCCTTTGGCGTCGATCCCCTTCCTGGAGGTTTTGGGGTGGATCCTCTCCCTTCCGCCTCCTCCTCGAGCTATGGCGAAAGCTTTTGTTCCCCTGTTCTAGGCGTCGACGACACCCTGGTGTCGTGTTCCTTCTTGAAGGCGGCGGCCGGGAACAACTCTTGGTGGCGAGGCTGCTGGTGGCATGGTGGCGGTGCGACTTCGGCCTTCTACTTGGTGTTGCGCCTTGCTTCGCGGCACCAGCGGACGGTTTCTTTGGTGGAGCGGTGCTTTATCCATCCATTGATGGCGACGGATCTTTACGGCATTGCGCAGTGCAGATTCGATGTTCGATGTGGGAGGATGGACTCGCGCAGGAGGACGACGCTGTCTGGCGTCGTGGTGGCGCCGATGACAAAGAGACCTCGCAAGGTAGATGCAACAGTACAACTCTGAAGATGGACTCGTGGTAGGTGGCTGCGGCGGCCTCGTACCTAGCAGGCGTCCTGGTTGAGGAGTGCGCCGGACTCGTAGGTGCCTCATACCAGGCAGGCGTCCTGGTTGGGACCTCAGGTCTTAGATGTTTAGGTTTGGTTCCGATGTCTGTTTGGTATTAGGCCCAGGCTATCAGCGCCCCTTCATCAATTGGATATATATAGCGACAGTTGTTGCTTAGACGGTGGCTTTAGTCTTGCTGTTGTATGACTTTGTAAGGTCTTGTGAGAATAATTAATAAAATGACCGTATGCATCGCCCAAATGCAGAGGCCGGGGGTCATCCTCCTTTAAAAAAAAAAGATGTTCCGTCCACGAGCACCTTGCAGGCTTCTTGATAATGCCCCGGCGGGCTTCTCCCCTTTTCCGTTCCCTTTTTGCTTTCGCTATCAATTAGTGGAAAAGGGTGTGAGCCCGGTTGAAAAAGAAAATCCACACCTAGAAGCAAAACGCAGCAAGCCGTTGGATTTCTCGTCGTACGAAGGTAGAACAATAAGTATCGTGTGTATAGCGGTTTGGATACACAGGCGTGACTACTCCTCCGTATACGTAGAGTGAGGTAATGTACATAAATGCGACAACAGTTACTCCCACCCCCACCCCCCATCCCTACAGCCTGCAGCTGAATTTACAGCGACAACAGTACTTGCCTGTACGTGCTGCAACCTGCAATGCCATGTGGTAACTTCAAAGCTAGCTAACGCTCTTTCTTTTCAGTTTTGATAATAATTTCTTTTTTCTTTTTACTATTGCCGAGCTGTGGTGTTTTTCATCCTCTGTCTTGGTCTTAATTTATAAGAGTACAGTACTACTTCCACCGTCTCATAATTTAAGATCATTTTGCAAGACGGAAGGACTAGTTTTTTTTTTAAAATGAAAACGGAGGGAGTAGCTAATTAACCAGGCCGTGTTAATTGGGCTTCCAACTCGTGTCGTCTGAAGACATCTCTTTCTTCTTCCCTTCATTTTTTTTTACTCCAGTACCGTTCAAGATATCTGTTGATGCACTTCAGTTAGGAAATCTCCAATGGTGATGGGGACTTAAGAAAAACTTGTCTAGATCGTCAAGTTTCATTCAGCCAATCGACACTACTGAGCTCAGCAATATACTCCGACCAAAACACAATATGAGTTTGCTGTTCCAACCAAATGGTAATCGAGCTCGTAATTAACAAGTGAACCAACAAAAGATTACTACAATAATACTTCATTCATTTCATCATTGCATACCACGGCACAAGCTGACACGTACATCTAGCATTATTCATATGCCTCAAGAACATGCACCACTACTACAGATAACCAAGAACTTAACACGACCGACCGACAGAGATGGACCTAACGACGTAATTAAGCGACAAACACAACAAACAAATCGAGTTCTCCAAACGTACGTACGCGCGGCGTATAGCGCCCACAGAACCAGCATGCATGCACGCTACGAGTAGCACTACCGAACCATCAACCATGCGCCCCGTCAGTGCTTGCCACACACCAGCGGATCTAGCTATCAACGGCCGCCCTCAGCTTTTCACGGCTTCTTGGCGTGCTCGTCGACGGCAGCTGCAGCGGGGGACCCCGGCATGCCGCCGAAGCCGCCGAGACCGGGGGAGCCGCCGAGGCCGGGGGAGCTGCCGCCGAGGAAGGGCATGCTGCCGATGCCGCCGAAGCCCGAGGTGGCGCCGCTGCTGCCGGGGAGGCTGAATCCCGGCATGCTGCTGCCGCCGCTGAATGCCGGTGACCCGCTGCCGAGGCGGTCGAAGGGCGGGAAGGTCGTCGGCTGCAGGACCGCGTCCTTGCTGGCGGCTGCCGCCTCCGTCGTCTTGATGTTCCTCGCCTCGGCGCTGGTCGCCGCGGCCAGCACGGCGAGGACGAGCATCGCCGCCATCTTGGTCGACTTCTCCATCGCTAGCCTGCTCCTGAACTGGTGCTCTTGCTCCTGGCTAATGTGTGAGTGGCTGCTTGCTTTGTTTGCTTGCTGCTTCTAGCTCTGTGGGATGTGGAGGAGGAAGAAAGGTGGCGGGAGGTTTTATAGCCGGGGAGGGCGTCATTCAAGTGGTGGCAGCTCATCGATCGGCCTGAGCGACGGTAGGTGGGGGGCGTTAAGGAGACGATTAAAGGAGCGGGTACCTGCTGCGGTTTACTGCCATCCTGTGATCTCCATAAATACTTTTGCTCTTACAGACCAGTGGTGCATCAATGGGGGGAGAAGAGGGGGAAATTGTAGATCTGGTCGTGGTTGGGAGCTATAGCTGGATGTACTCCTTCCGTTCCAAATTACTCGTCGCTGAAATGGATGTATCTAGAACTAAAATACATCTAGATACATCCATACGTGCGACAAGTAATTCGGAACGGAGGGAGTAGCTTGCATGAAGAGCGTTCAAAATCCGGTGAATTTGATCTAGCTTTTCTTTTGGGTAGTAGCACTACTTACTATGACTAGGGACGCGGAAATCCCTTTTGGAGCTCGGGCTCCAGTGAGCCCTCTAAATTCAAATTTGAAATTTCATTGAAATTTATATTTTTTACATTTCAAAAAATTCTGAAAAAAATTACAGATATACATGAAGGCATAATACACATGTGTGTAAATTTTCAGTTTAAAATACATTGAAATGAGGGCTGCGCAAAAAAGATAAATCTGGGGTTGTTTAACACATGATACTATTCATCCTCCCAGACCATGAATTTGTCTTTTTTGTACAGGTCGCAACTCAAAAATATTTCATCATGTATTTTTACACGTAACATACAAGCATATTTTTTTCTCAGATTTTTTTGATCCATAAAAGTTTAAATTTAAATTTTTAAAAAATAAAGGCCTCCATAAAGCTCGGCCTCCAAAACGCCTTTCTCCTAGAGACGCTAGAATAAAATGGAAAATATACTGGTACTAGCAATTTAGCATTCCTGCGTTTTTCCCTTAGCTAAACAACTACACGCTCTGTTCACTAAACAAGATTAACATTTGGAGTACTATTGTTTTCTTCGTCTCGGTCTGATAAACGGCCTTGCTGGCCAACAACGAACAGCGCTATATAATTATTTCGAGTTGTTTCACAAGCAAAGGTTGGAATTAATAGATCGATGTGGATCTTTATGTTTGCATGCATGTCTTGTTGAAAAATAATATTTTGCGGTCAGTGCATCAATGGGAGAGGGAATGAAGAATAATGGATACTTTAGTATCTTCTTGTGCTTGGGACTTGGGCTCAATTCTTTTGCCAGAAAAATCCGACCCCTACTCAGCTTTTCCCAGAATCTTTGAAGCCAATAGCTTGCTTGCATCAGCATGGGGTGCGCGTACTTGCAAAATTGGGAAAATTGACGGGTAACTACTTGACATTTGCACGAAAAAAAAAGATTCAGTCAATTTTGTAGCCCGGGGATCAAAATCCAGTGGTTCTCCTTTGTCTTCTTCTTCCAGCCCTAATCCCCGCCCCCATAGAAGCTTCTTCCTTCCTCCAGCCGCTCAAGTCTGGCTCACATCCCTTCCTCTCTTCCGGCCGCGACACCACACCTTGCTACTAATGTCATCGAAGTATATTGCTTTACAAGGTCAAACACAACTAATGCATACCACTACCTCTTGCAGATAATTCGTCTAACATCAAAAGTGAATAAACTAATAGATCAAAGAACATGTACATATTTGAGCTTAATCACATATAAACGCTTAGGGATAAGAAAACAAAAATCAATTGCATGACATCCAAGTTTCACTTAAGAACTTTCCTGGGCAACATGTTGTAATGCGCAACGGCAGGGGAAAAGAGCTCATATTTGCAATCCTAGTATGACTAGGATTCAGTCATATATTTTAATTCTTCTACATATTTGTCCAATATCTATTGCTTATGACGCTCTTTCAACTTCATTTTGTAGATTTGCATCGCGGACGCCGTCGATGGTTGATGTCGACGATGTGACCTGTCTTCTCACCATCTTGTTTGGGGTCTTCGTTCATGGGTTGGTTTACTTGTGGACTTGTCATGGTGTTTGTCGACACTTTTGTGATATAAGTGATCTCATATGCAACACTTTGTGATATTGTATGGATGATCTTTGTGATCTCGCATGTGGATAATCTAGTGATCTTTCTGATGTATGCTATGATTTTGTGGTCTGTGTGTATATATATTTGTATTTTTGAAATGCATGAAATACTGCAAAATTGGAAAAAAGATTGGCACCTCTTTGCCGACGGTTATACTCGGCAAAGCAATGTTTTCCGTTGGCAAAGAAGACAAATGGCTCGGAGCTGTAATGCCTAGCAATTTGGTGTTGGGGCTTTGCCGATAGTTGCGGCCAAGAGACACGGAAAAGCTTTGACGCATCGGGCCCGCATGTCAGGCGTTTACCGATGGCTGAAAAGTAGTACACAATAATAAACTTATGTTGGGACCCACCTATCAGGGCTTTGCCCGACTGTTTAGTCTTGGTGCACAACAAATGGCGTCGTTCGGGACCCACATCCGAGGTCTATGTTGATGGTTGACTGTCGGAAAGATGTAGCTGCGCCGTTTACAAACGTCCGCCCGTCAGTCTTTACTTTGTGTGAGCAAATGTTGACTGTCGGTAAAACCTTTGTCTCCAGCCTGATAAAAGCATCGACAAAGTGTCATTTCCTAGTCTAATCATCGGCCACAGAGTTCGCCGCTAGTTTTCCCTCGACAAAGGTGTTACCGATAGCTTTACGCCATTCGTCGATTGTTTGGCATCGTCGGCAAATGACCAGTTTGTTGTAGTGAATGTGTCTTAGTTGAAAAAGTATATTTTGTAGTTAGTGCATCAATGGGAGAGGGAATGAATAATTACCTGTAGTATATCCTTGTGCTTGGGACTTTGGAGCCAGTAGCTTTCTTGCATCAACATGGGGTGCATACCTGCACAATTAGGAAAATTGGTGGGGGTGGGGGGGGGGGAGGCTGAATAATTCACATTTAACTGGAATACTAGATTCAGTTGATTTTCTTAGCCCAGGGATCGAGATCCAATAGTTTTCCCCTTCATCTTCTTCCTCCAACCCTAATCCCCGCCCGAACTAGTAAAACTTCTTCCTTCCTCTAGCCACTCAACTATGGCATGCATCCCTTCCTCTCCTCTGGTTGCGACACCGCACCTTGCTACTAATGTCACCGAAGTATATTACTTTACAAGATTAAACACATTTAGTGCATACCACTACCTCTTGAAGATCATTCACCAAAACATGGAAAGTGAGTAAACTAATAGATCAAAGAGCATGTACAAGTATAAATCATGCGACAAAAAAATAATACAAATTAAATTAATATATAATCTGATCATATATAATCTAATCATAAAGTGACAATTCATCACACCGTAACAGACACATAAAAAATTACATCAGACTGGTCATAGTAATGTTAGGCAGCTCATGTGGTCTTTGTATTGAACAGGGTAGAGTAGATGTCACATACTACTATTATGGACTCATACTCCAGGGAGAACCACTCACACATGGTCATAGTAGCAGCAAGTTTGATGAAGAAGACATCGATGATGATCTCCTCCTTCGGCGGAGTACCAAAAATGGAGTCCTGATTGGATCACCTCACATAGTGACAAAGTGGTAGCGGAAACAATTGTGCAATATTATTTCTGAATGTTTCAGGGGTATATAAAGTCATTGAGACGAAGATATAACAGAGGGAACTCTTGTGGGCCCCATGGCCCTGTTAGCGCACCATAGGTTTGGGGCATGTGGGCCCTAGGGGCTCCCTCTCCGGGAGTTCTTCTGGCCCATGGTTGTTCATGTTCTGAAACTGAACATCGTACTTTTATTTTATTTTGTGCTCCCCGAAAAATAATGTTCTTGTAACACCAAAAAAGAACATCTCACACTTGGCACTGAATTAATATCTTAGTCAAAAAATGACTAAAAAAATCATGCAAAAACTATGGTTAAATGATACGAATATATATAGCACGAACATAAGAAAAAACATATATGTTGGAGATTTATCAGGGCCCCACCACGAAAGTGAGGTTAATGGCTCTCGACCTGTGTGGTGAGGTCATGTGGCAGTGTCCCGGTGAGAAGTGTATCTCGGCCACACAACGTCCCTTGGGTGACATGTCAACATTTTTGAGGGGTCGTGTTCTAATTGCGTGTTTGCTTGTATCTGCGTTGGTATGTCTCCAAAGAGGAAAGAATGATGCAGGGTAATTATTTTTCTCAGTTATGAAACCAAGGTTATCAATCTAGTAGGAGAACCAAGCAACACTATGTAAACAACATGTGCACATAAACAACAAATATTTGCAAACCAACGCGTAAAGGGGTTGTCAATCCCTCAACGGTATCGAGATAGATTAAATTGTATGAGATTTGGTAAATAGATCTAACTAAAACACAAAATAAAATAAAGAAAGAAAAAATGCAGCAAGGTATTTTTGGTTTTAATATGATAGGAAATAGACCCAGGGGACGTACTTTTCACTAGAGGCTTCTCTCAAGAAAATAGCATACAGTGGGTAAACAAATTACTGTTGGACAATTGCTAGAAACGCGAATAATCATAACGATATCCAAGGTAATGATCATGTATATAGGCATCACGTCCAAGATTAGTAGACCAAACCGGTCATGCATCTACTACTATTACTCCACACATCGACCGCTATCAAGCATACATCCAGTGTATTAAGTTCATGGAAAAACATAGTAATGCATTAAGAATGATGACATGATGTAGACAAGATAAACTCACATATTAATAAACCCCATCTTGTTACCCTTAATAGCAACAATACATGCGTGTGATGTCTCTTTCTATCACTGAGATTGAGTACTGCAAGATCGAATCCATCACAAAGCACCTCTTCCCATGGCAAGATAAATCAATCTAGTTGGCCAAACCAAACCAATAAATTGGA